CACCCCTAACCACCTATGTATGTGCAGAGCTTCTCACTAGAACCGGTTAGCATAAATCTTTCCATGCTTTTCTAACTCTTCCTGGTCACATCAGTCAGCAGCAGAGGTGCCAGTTTAGGAAGAGCGAGGTCCCTGTGTCAAAGTTCAGCCACCCCCAGTTAACTGGAGGCCCCACCTCGAAGCCAGACCTGGCCCCAGCCAACAGTAGCCACATCAGAGGTGAGGCTGCAGAGGGGTGTTAGGAACCACATCAAGGCCCAAAGAGAATCCACACAGGAGTGCCCAGGACCAGCCCAAGTCCAGGCTGATGGAACTCGGGGGAGCCAGAGTTGTGGATTGTGATGACTGGCGATTTCACAGAACGTGTCTACTTGGAAAGGTCACTTGCTTGATTTTAGGGACATAACATCAAGCAAACTCTGCTTCCTAAGGTAGTTTCAGTAGAAAATATTCTAATTTATGGTTTTCATATCGACAGACCATGTACCCTTGATTTTTATTTGGGGAAAACTGGCCACCATGTTGTTGAGGGGTGAGGTTTCTGATGGATTTATTCTCCAAGTGTGGAAACACTTGTCTCTAAATTCAATATTCCATTCCAGAACTTAACTATCCTCAGTCCAGAGCTCTTCCTCATAGCTACCTCGAAGGTTATCTGCTAAAATACAAACTAGAGTTCGTTCTCAATGACACATTTGAAGAGAAAAGGTCCATTTTTGTAATGAATACAGTATAAGACCCAGTTACACAAAACATCTGCCTTCCCAGCTATCCTCTGCCTGGGCTAACCTTTACATAAATTCACACTCCCTGGTCCATCCTAAGTCCGCAGTTAGAAGGGTTGGCTGGGACAGGTGATGGGAGAAGATGATTCAGCTTTGACAGTGGACTTGGATAAACCATCAAAAAGTTTATTACCGTCTGGCTTGAGTAGCACCGAGAACTGAGAGAGGCATTTCCTCTTGTCCCTGCAGAAAGGAGAAGCCGCTGGCTCTCCTTGTAAGAACCTTGTCTCACCCAAGCTTCGATTCCAAGAACACCCTTGATGGAGCCATCTGACTCCCCAGTTCAAAGTGAGCTCACCTCATCCAAACTGCTGGGGAAGTCTTTATGTGGTGCTATTCATGAGGCAATTAGTCACACTAATTGTGCCCACATGAGTATTGTATGTCACTTTATTGTTCCTAAGTGTTCCCAATAATAAGAATAATAATGACTAGCATTTAGTAACCATTTATTTTGCATTGGGTCCTCTACTAAGGACACTTCAGTGTCTCAATTCTCCCTCCACATGAGGTTGGTGCCATTTTTTTTTATCCTCCTCATTTTTCCGGGGGGGGGGGGGCGAAGACAGGAAAATAAAGCAATTTGTCCAAGGTCACATGGATAAACCACTATTGAGCCCCAGGATCTGAGTCAGAAACTGCTCTCTTCAATGAAAACATTCTACTGAAGAGAGACCTTCTGGCACATAGCAAAGCTGTCACAATGGATTGAAAAATGAGCTCGGGAACAACTTAGCCTTCGCTCCTTCCACAGTTTTAGACTTTCCCACTGTCCTGTGTCTCCATCCTCATGCTTCAGCCTGATTATGGATCTATTCTGCAAAAGGACAAGCCCAAACCAAAGCAATCATTATAATATGGCCGGAGAGCATGTTCGCTTCAGTGTTTTAGATCCTGAAATGCGGGCAGCTGTGTTTATTCCCACAGAAGTACTTGCAGATGTGGGGGCACATGTGGTTCAGGTTGCTGTTTGCATCCTGAGACATCCAGGTCCCATATATGGGGGGTTCCCAGTTATACTCTGAAGCCCTGTGATGTAAAACCTGTCTCTACTTGAGCCACTCTGGAAGAGAAGCCAGAGGATGGAAGGCCCAGATGCAAAGGAAGCCCAAGTCCTGGTTTCTAAAGGCAATGACTTATTCTGGGCTCAATTCCTGTATGTCCAGATAGCATCAACCCAACCATCCGTAGTTCCCACCAGTCTGAAAATCAAAACTCAGAGGTGCATCCAGTGGTACCCCAACACTGGAAAGGAGAAGCATTAGTCAGATTTTTGCCACTGTGATCAAAATACCCAATGAGAACAACTTAGAGAAGGAAAAGTTTATTTCGGGTCATGGTTTCAGAGGTTCAGTCCGTGGTCAGCCGATTCCATTGCTTGGGGCCCAGGGTGTGGCAGAACATCATGGTGTGAGGGTTTTGGCAGAAGAAAGCTCAATCGAGAAGTCAGGAGGCAGAGAAGAGGTGAGCAGGAGCCACAGGGAAGATGAACCCTTGCAGGTCACAACCCCAGTGACTCACCACCTCTGGCCGTGCCCCTCCTGCCTACAAGGACCACCGTGTTAGTCCATTCAAACTAGGATGGACTGATTAAGTCACAGCTCTTCTAATCCAATCATTTACCTCTGAATATTCCCGCTTTAACACTGGAGGTTTGGGGGGAGGGGGACACGTCATATCTAAACCATAACAGGAGGGCTGGAGGAGGACCACTCCTCAGCGGGGAGTTAAGAATCGGCAGCAACGAGAGACGGGCTCACAGAGGCCTCATAAAAGGAATGATGACAGAAAGAAAAACCAGGAACCATCAGCTTAACCAGCTTCCCACCAACTCTACAAGACACGAGCAAGAGTGGGGCCATGGACTGAATCATGTTCCCCTCAGATTCCTGTGTTGAAGCCCTAATTCCCAGTGGAATGGCATTTAGAGGTCCCCGCCTCCAAATCACCTTGGGAAGTGATGGGGTTCAGAGGGGGGTCCTGAGTGCACGGCCATCATGATGGACTAGTGTCCTTATAGGAAGGGACACCAAAGACCTTCCTCTCTCTCCAGTGAGATGGTAGCCACCCAAGAGACAGTAAGTGGACCCTCTCCCAGGTCCCGAATTGGCCAGCAACTTGATCTTGGACTTCCCAGCCTCCAGAAATCAATAAAAAACTTCTGCTGCTTCATCCACCCAGTCTTCAGAATATGTTGTAGCAGAATGAGACACTCATACAGGTGCCGAAGTCAGGCAGGTGATCACATCCTGACCCCAGCTCTACAGCTGTGTGACCCTGGACAAGTTATTTCATTTCTGTCATCCACAATCTTCTTGTCTGCAAACCACTGATAACAAAGGACTGGATGAGCTGGTGTCTGGAGCTGTCTGGGACGCAGCACCCCCACCAGCAAAGCCGCCCCTGGCACCTTATGCAATGGGTAGCTTCCTGGCCACACTCAGCCCACAGATGTATTTTGTTTGGCCTGCATCAATGTTTGGAGAAATTTGGACTATTTACGAACACTTGAAAGTCAGGAAATTTCACATAAAAATCTCAATTTCCGGTTCTTCTTGAGAAATAAGATGAAACATCACTGGACCTAGGTTCCCACAGGAGAATCCCCTCTGGACCAAGGGCAGGACCCCGCTCCATGCACCCAAGCCAGCTCCACCCATTTATAAGACATGCTTGGCACCTCAAGAGATCCCAGGGCTGGTGAAATCTGGCATGGCCTGGACTTTTCCTTGCTGCTCATAAATAGAGCTTTTAAGTACAATTTCAGGATCAGTCTCCCAAAGTGAGGAACAATTAGCACATTCCTAAGTCGCTGTTTTATTTGTTTATACTTCTATTGGGAGCTGAAGAACCTTAGGAAAGGCCAGACTCTCAGTCCTTGGAGTAAAATGAGCTCTTGCAACAGGGGTTGGTGACCAGCTCTGTCCCTGTCACTTACCTTCTCAGGCCTCAGTTTCCTCCCCAATAAAATGAGGCCTTGGGCTGGATTCTCTTTCCTCTGTCTCTTTTCACATTTATGTAATTATGACGTGAAATTCAAGCACATGGATAGAAATGTAAAACAACTCTTGTTTACTCATGAGCTGTGAAGGTTTTAATGAGAGGAGAGCCCTTAAAACACCCCACTGACCTCAACACAGGCCTGAACTAAATGGAATCAGGGCCCCCACAGTAGCCTGTCTGTTGTTGTGCCCACTCCGGGGTTGGGTCATTACCCTTGACGTTCTAGGCTTAACATACCCAGAGGGAAATGTACACCAGGGCATTAAAAGATGGGCTGGAAGCCAGGCGCAATGTCACACGCCTGTAATTCCAGCTACCTGAGAGCTAAAGTGGTGGGATCATGAGTTCAAGGCCAGCCTGGGCAACATAGAGAGAGCCCCATCTCAAAAATAAAATGATATAAAATGAAGATCAACTGGTTCAACCTTCTATCTTTAGCAGAGTCTGATAAGCCCCACCTGAGTTTCTGCCCCCACTTCAAGACACAAACCCAACCACACTACCCAACTTCTGATGCTTTCTGCACATGGGCCCTCTTTCAGTTCCTTGCTCACTGCAACCACAGGACCTTTGCACCTGCGGCATCCACCACCTGGAACCCTGTTTTCCTAGTGAACTGCCGCTGACCCTCAGGTCACAGCATAAGCATAACCTCCACCATCCCTGGCCTCCCTGGCAAGATCACATCAACTGTGTTGTAGCAGCTTTGTTACACATTTACATTTTACATGTGTGATTACTTGACACTAATGATTATCTCCCCAACTGAATAAAGTTCAGGAAAGCAGGGTTCACATCTGTCTTTGCTCTATAGTACCTGGCCATCAGTGGGGCACTCAAATGTTTGCTGGTGACTTCCTTATTGAAAGGAGGAATGGCAATAAATTCCGAGCAGTCTGGTTCCAACCACCAAGTCACATGGCCTACTACGGTGCCTAAGGGCTCAGCAGAGCACAGTAAGTGTTTGCAGAATAAATCACAGCTACCATCTACCAGCCTCTAACCCCAGCCCCACAAAACACACTAGATGCGTGAACCTTCTCTGGATCATAAGTCTAGACAGATAAGGGTCTCAGAACTCGACGGCCATGGGAGAAAGATAATAGCTGAGAGAAAAACCAACGAGAGCCAAACAGGAAATAAAACAAAACAAAAAACATAAGCGAAGGCCCCAGCTCAGGTCCACAGGGCCTGGGTGTGTCCACCACATACCTGATGTTTTCATTCAGGACATACAGCTCGTTGCTTTGCAAGCCGCCCCCTTTGAAAACGTTGATCACGGCTGTCTGGACGCTGCAAGAAACAGAGACAACTCCTGGTTAGACAATCTGCTTCCCGGGGCCATTTCCACAAGCAGCTGGGAGCCGAAGGCAGGTGGCAGGGCCAGGGAGCCCATGGTACTAACATGGCTAAGCCTTTTCTCTCTGGAATCCATCACTTCCTTCTCAGGGTCCTTCTCAGGGTCCTTGGGGAGGAAGGATGACTGAAGTCCAAAGGACTCAAGAGTGACCGTCACCTTCTTGCAGGTCATGTGGGTCTTCCTTCCCCACCCCGCTGGTGAGCAGCAAAGGTAAAGGGCAGGCAGTGGGGTCTGTACTCAGGAAACTGTGGACAGCACCACTAGGCCTGGGAGAGTCCAAAGTGGCACCTGCTGCCAGCAGGAGCTGTCCCGAGCCGGGATGCTTTCAGCTAGGGGGCCACTGTCTCCCCAGGGCAGCTTGGCGGCCTGAGGTTAATGTGAAATGAAGGTTCCCTGTCTCTCTTTGGGAGAATTTCCTGTGTGCTAGCCTTCTTGCCCGTTACTGTCCCCTCGAGGTGTACAGGAACTAGAGTTAGGTCCTTGAGGGGCCACAGTTAGGGCTTGAGGCCACATTCTCAGGGACCACAGCCTACTCTGACAGCCCAGGAGCTGATTATAATTTCATCTGTGCCAGGAGATCTGGGCTTGTTTTAAAGCACAGGGGGCCACTTGGCACCAAAGCATTTCTGAGCCCCCACTTTACCCCCATCCGTGGAGCTGAACTTCCTGTGTCTACTCATTAAAAAACTCCACACAGACCCAAACTATGTAGACTTTAGTAATGTGCTGAAAGACCAATGCATTTAATTTCTCCAAAGAGTATCTGCATGGGTGTGGATACTAAGCAGCCCACAGAAGCATAAGACAGTATTGGTGAACCCTGCTTGGTGTGCAAGGTCAGCTGGACACCTGCTAAAAGCTCTCAGTGTCCCCTCTCCTGAGCACCTGTGGCTCGTAGGTATGACAACCTTTGTCTCATGCCATCACTCAGCTTTTCACAGACACACGTCCAATCTCCACCAACGGGTAGCAGGTTGACACACATGACTCCATCTAGGTGTGACTGAGGGATGTGGACAGTAACTGTAAATTCCAATCCAACTGTCCTGGCTGGTCAACCGACTCTGACAGGCCAGGGCTCGAGGGAGTCTGCTTTATCACCTTAAACAAAGCAAGCTCACAGATGCGTGGGACGCCAGGAAGCTCGCCCTCTTTGTCATTTGCCTCATCCATCACCACCACCTTCCAGAGCAGAGATCCCAGAAGCAGCAGAAACTCACACAGTCCCCAGAGGTCCCCTGGTCCTGGCCTGGCCATGACAGCCCTCCGGCCCACCCCTGCGCTCTTTACCTATTCCAGGCCGAGTTGGAGCTCAGCTGCAGGGCCTGCCGGGCAGCTTGGAACCGGGGCAGGTCGCTGAGCACCGGGGAGCTCATGAAGCGCGGTCTTGGCCTGCGGAAGGAGCCCATCTTGTGGAACTCGAGGGGCAGGATGGGAGTGAGGCCGCGGGTCATAAGTCCTGGTGACGGGTCAGCTTCACCTGTAGGACCAGAGTGTTCCAGCTGCCCGCAGAAGGGCTTCTGCCAGGGCTGCCTCCTGGCCCTCAGTCTTCCTTAACACCACAGACTCGGCCAACACCTGGAAAGAGAGGGCAGCCTTTATCCAGAACTCCTGGGGCAGAGGAGACCACGTCTCACGGGTCGCTGGCCGGGACTGTCCAGCCAAACTCTCCCGAAAACAAAGAGGAGACCCAGAAAGAGCCTCTATTTGCCTCTTGTTCCCATTCACAAGTTTTTACAGCCTTTATTTATTTATTTATTTCAGTGATGACCATGTGGTCACCCCAGGGTGGGAAAGTAGTGATCCCAGGGCCCATGAGAGCAGTCCCGAGAAAACCCCTCGCTGTGCCTGACTCTGGTTCCCACGCACGTGGATCAGTCTGAGCACCACCGGGGTTTCAGCAGACCCCACAGTGTCATGCACTAAGTGATGGCTTTGAAGACAAGGCGTTCAGGAGAACACAAGGGCTCACATCCCAGCACCGAAAACCTTCCTTGACATGTCCTGTCGGTTTACAGGTATTGTTCAGTATTTCCCAAAGTACCAGGGCCTCCTCCTTCACACCCGTCTCCTCATCAGGATAGAGCTACCAAGTGCTTACTCTTGATTAACACGGTAAGATGGGAAGCATCCAAAGGTCTCTGAGACCTAGTTCCTGCCTCTACTCATGGTCCATGGAAAAGATATCCACATATATCTACCTGTGCGCTCCTTCTGCAATAAAGATTTATTGAGCCCCCATATGTACCAGGCACTCGCTCGGGCACTGGGAGATACAAGGATGGCCCTGAGACCACGTGCCTGCCCCGTGAGCTTACGACCACCAGGAATTGTTCCACACTTACTCCTGCTTCCTGGTTCTGGATCTTATCTATCCCCACCCACCCCACCCCCGGCCCAGAATTGTCTTTCTTTTGCTCTTTGCTTATCTAAATCCAACTTGTTCTGCAGGGCTGGGTCCCAGAATACTGTTTCCCTGTAGCAGCCCAGGAGAGATTTTATGGTTTTGTGGTTAGAGGGAATGACCTGGGGTTCAAGTCTTAACTTGGCCGCTCCCAAGTTGCATGACTTTGGACACACGGAATCTAAAGTCCCCAGGCGTTGACACTGCCAACCTCACAGGACTCGGGGGAGAGATGAAATGAGATCAGGTGTCATGCCCAGCAGATGCAAGGGCCTCAAGGGCTGGCCATTTTCCCCAGACCTATCTTCTTCTCCTTGGCACTTTCAGATCTATAATTTCCACATCATTGTTTAATGAATCCAGAGTCTGAGTGCATGACTTGAAAGAAGTCTGAGTGAAAGACAAAAGCAGACACTGAGGTTCTATCTGTAGTTGCTTTTCTCTTAAGGTAGTCGGCTTAGCCCCAAAGTGTCAGCGCCCTTCTCATCAGCTAACTCTGAGAATGCTCCAGAAACTAATGACGAAAGCAAGATCCAGCCGACAGTGTCAAGCTTCAGGTTGGCAGGGGGAGACAGTTTTTCAGCCCCAGCTGTAGCCTTTGAAGAAAGAGAACAGACGTGGCCAGGTCCAAATCAAACAAGGCACTGGGGTTGGCAGAGGAGCTAGGCGGCTGGAGCAGGCCCCAGGGTGAGACAACTGGAAGGGCAGAGAGGTACTAGTGGCCATCTGTACGCAGTGGACACAGTGACAAAGCACCTATCCTAGCAAGGGCCAAAAGAGGCATGGCTGCTCCAGCCTTTTAACTTTTTTCTTGAGGGACAGGAGTCTTGTGTACCATTTTCTCTGATTGTCTTCACCCCTTCACCCCATGCTCAGAATGAGTCAGTGGTTAAGTAAAATTGATCAAGAGATGCAGGGGAAGTCATGATAGGCCTGTGAGCTTCTGAGAAGGTCTCAGTAACTCCCCAAGTGCCACAGAATTCATCAAGACCTATGCCCACAGAGACACGAGGTGAGGATGAAAAAAAAAATGCAGATTCTCCTTCAGGTTCCTTAAGCGGGTCCCTCTGGGGATTTCATTTGCCAGCAAAGTCCCTTTGTCAAGACAGGACTCGTCTTGATGTCCTTCTTTCAAAGGGCCTGTGGAGTGTGGCTCATCTGTGGAATCATAGGACATTAACTCCCTTTACAAGGATCTTAAACCCGAGGTGTGGCAGGAGCCTCTCACTCCAAGGTCCTAGCACAGGGAAGCAGATGGTGGGCAGAATGGACATCCCCATGTTCACCTTCCACCTTCCCGCCTAACACCCGCTTGCCCAGGGACACTGAGACTCTGAGGGTCTCTGAGAATCCCGACCCCCCTCCACACTCGGCTCACGCTCCCCAGGCTCTACCCAGCTTTCCCAGGACCCAGCAAAGCACGCGGCAGCAGGTCCACAGGGCCACCTTGCAAACAAGGGTGATCTTCAGCCCAAAGGATGATGGCCGCAGCTCCCACACCTCCGAGGCAAGAGCCCCACACAGCATGAGTGGCCTCTGACGTGTTTCTCAGATCCCAACTGGTTGAAGAGTGATGGCTCCGGCAGAGGTGGGGGGATGGAGGTGGGGGGGGGGGGGGGTTCCTAGCTGAGGACAGAGCCACTCAGCATCACCAGAGCGCCCCCCAGAGGAGGGCGCTGGGAGCGCAGGCAAGGAGGTCTAAGGAACGGACCTGTTGCTGGTCCCCAGCAAGCATGACAAATCTGGAAATGCCAAGAGTCCAGCCTGTCAGGCCCCACTTACACAGGACAGAAGTGGAGCGAAGGAGGAAAGAAACTTGTCCAAGATCTCCAAGGTGTAGAGAACTCAGGTTCCCTAATGCCTGATCCAGAAAGTTCCCCAGGCCATTCTGTAAATTCTAAAAGATCAGATGGGTTTATTTACCTCTGACCCCAAGCCTGAACTCACTTCCTAAAAGAAAGATAAGAAGACAGCTTCAGCTGCCTGCCTGACATGATGCCAGGTGCTGTGGCTACAGGTGAACTTACTCGCCCCCCACAAAATGCCATTTGAAGATGAGAGCAGTTAAGTAAACTCCCTGCAGTGGCACAGCTAATAGGCGGAGATTCATTGACCGGTGCCAGGATCAGCCCAACTCTCCAGACCATTCCCACTTGGCAATGCTGTCAAACTCATCAAACCAGAATCAAAGCTACTAAGTTAGGAACCTCAGCCAAAAAGTTCATATCAAAATTACATATCATGCCCCTGAGATAATAAACTGCTATAAGGAATTCTATGGCCACAATTGGTGGGGACAGGAGGAACAGTGAGGAAAAAGAATGACAGGAGAAAGCTCAGACTGCTTATTACTGGCTGGGTGGCCTTGGGCAAGTTACTTGACCTCTCTGAGGTCTGATTTTCTTCCACATGAAATGAGCATGCTAATAATGACTGCCTCGGGATTGTAGATATACAAATATATCTCTCAGTATCAGGCAAATAGCAAGTGCTCATAAGCTCTGGCTAAATAAATAAAATAACATTTTTGTTGTTTCTAAATCGCCAAGACCTGACCATGGTAGGGAAACACTTCCGTGTGCTTCTGGTGCCTGGGGAGCATGCGAGGCCTCCGAGCCCTGTAGTGGTCACAGCACATTCACAGCTGGCCTCTCAGGCCTGAGGTATCTCAGGACTTTATTCTAAGTAGCATGTCCTAAGGCCTACACCTCCAAGAGTTTCTAAATCTCACCCCAACCCCGTAGTGCAGGCAGAGCAGGCAACCTGCCTCAGATGAGGCCCAAGCAGGCGAGGTGACCTGGCCAAGCCTGGAGAGCCAGTTGGTCAAGGACCCAGCCCAGCTGAGAGGCTCCAACCTAACCAAGATTCCTTTTGTCTTTTTTCCTGGTATATTTAAAAAATATTTTCATTATAAAACATACTTGGAAAGCATATGCACACATAAACACACATTTAAAGAATGACAATAAATCACCACCAGCTTCAGAAATAGACTGCTCCCTTGGCAACCCCGTGTGCTCCTGTTTGGATAATAGCACACGTGCTTATTGATTATAAAAAATGCAAATATTCACCCAAGTCTATCACATCATGTGAAAGGCCTCTTTAGGGCCACTTAACAGCAGAGAGTACAGCTGGGCCCAGGAGTCCTTTCTGAGAGGACGGTAGTGACCTTCAGCTGGGCTCACCAACGCCATGGCCACCGGCCCCACGAGCTAACAAGCACCTGAAATGTGGTTGGTGCCACTGAGATGGAATTTCCACTTTATTTAATTTTGAACAGCCACACACATGGGCACATACAATATTGTGGCCAGGATGGGCTATTTTTTCTTCCCTTTTTATAATATATCATGACTACCTTCTCACGCCAGTATAGATCAATCGATTTCATTCTTTTGAATGGTAGCCTCACTCTTCCACCTAGGGAATGTCATGTTTTATTAAGTCAGTCCCCTCTGGACGCATGTTTAGGAAGTGTTCAGTTTTTGTTATGGCAAAGAACACGCATATCTGAATGTCTTAAGGACCAGGTGACTGTTTTTGCAGAGTATGTACTCAGCAGTGGGTCAAAGGGCCAGTCATTCTTCACTCTGTGGCTCTGATCCCTGCCCCCACCACAGCCCAGATGTAGCACCGCAGGAAAGAGGTTGAGAGGCTAGGCCCCTAGCTCCCAAGACAGGCAGCACTGGCTGTCACTGAGGCATCAGGTTTGCTCTGTCACTCACTCACTGTGATAGGCAGAATAAGTGTCCTAAGAAATCCTTCACTTCTTAACCCCCAGGACCAGTGAATTTTACCTTATATGGCAAAACACGTGACAAAGTTAAAGACCTTGAGCCTTGGATTGTCCAAGTAAGCTCCAGAATGCAATCAAATACACCCTCATGGGGGTGGGGCTACAGAAGGACAGCAGAGAAGAGAGACAAGCATGGGGGGAGGGGAGGCAATGTGAAGGCAGGTGGAAACTAAGACAATGCAGATCCAAGCCCAGGAATGCTAGCAACCACCAGAAGATGAAGAGGGAAGAAACAGATCTTCCCCCTATAGTCTCCAGAGGATGAACAGCCCTAAAACACCTTGGTTCTGGACTTTGGACCTCCAGAACTCTGAGAGAATAAATTTCTGTTGTTTTAAGCCATAACAGTTGTGATAATTTGTTACAGCAGCTACC